AAAACGGAAAGGACAAAAAAAAAAAACCCGCCCAAAAAAAAATACCAACAAAAGGGGGTCATGAAGGTCCAGTATAGACAGAAACTCCTTGGGGAACCCGGATCCATGCGGTGTCGGTGGAATTTTGAGAGATTGGAGGGGTACAACTTTAGACTCCTTTTCCATTCATATTGGTTTTGGAGACTCCAATTGGGCTGATGCGAATACCCTCCTTGAGGCCCTTAAAAGGTTAAATTTGAGCTGGGGCAACCACCTCCTTGTCAAAGGGGATTCCAAGAATGTTATTTTGTGGGCATGTGGCAGGTCGTGCTGACCTTGGAGACTAAACCATATCTTTTACCACATTGGTTTTCTATGAAAGCCACTTCGAGTTTACTTCTGTCATACTTGGTGGGAGACAAACTCAATAGCTGGTACAATTGCCAAAAAGGGCACCGTACTTGGCCCCCATTTCAGTACAGGCGTAGCTTTTGGGAAGTCCACAGATGTGACTTTTTGGGTTAGAGCTTTGGTTTGTAGGATGCCTACCTTTGTGATTTCATATACTATTTTGGATCCACTTTTTTATTGCTTTTGGTGTCCTCTCTACTAATCTTTATCTTGCCTCCTCTTTACTCTTTCGCTCTTCTCTCTCTAAGATTTACTCCTTACCTTCACCACATCATCCTGCTTTCCATTTCCCTCCCAAACATTTTCTCTGTTCTCTTTCTCCTCCACTTCTCTCTATCTCCAGATGACCTTCTCTAATCCTTCTTTTATGTCTCTTGTCACTTGAATTTTTTTTTTTGAAGTTGTTAACTTGTCTTGGCCCTAGATTTTTTTATTGTACCGTTATAGAGCAGCTAGCTGTTTTTACCCCAATTAATTGGGAAAAAGGCTAAAATGATGATGACAGCTATAGAGCACCTGGTCTGTGGGCCCTACTTATACCCATATCTCATGGGTTTTTTGTGAGCATATTTTGTACATTATTATAGTGTCATCAATTCTCAAAATAAAAAATAGAAAAAAGAAAAAAATAACTCAAGGTCTTTAGACTTTAGATGTCACAGACTTGTATCGATAAATGGCCTCTGGCTGTTACTGGAAATATGCGTTGTTATTTAGATACACCTCTCAGTGGTTTTAAGGATCAATCACTGCATCCATTATGACAATGGTGATATACAAACAGTCCCTGGCTGTTCTCACATGGTAACACCCGCTTGAAAACCTTGCTTTTATATTTAAATCATGAAATTCTCATATTTTAAATAGATGTCTTTGCATACTTTTAACTACAACTAGTACAAAGCCTGTATCATAGTACATGATCTTTACACTTCATTCTCGAAACTTTCAGGCTTATCTCAAGGAAAAATTCTGTCAATGGTCTTAATAAGAATATTGCTATAGATAGGTGGATAGCAAGGGAGCAGACCTGTAAAATGACTATGTTCTGATTATCTTGCTTGGATTTGTTGTTGTATATCGAATTTCTTAGAAGTAACTATAGTTCCATGTAGATTCAATCCAATTTGTTGTTGTATATCGAATTTCTTAGAAGTAACTATAGTTCCATGTAGATTCAATCCAATCATTGGAGCAACAGATTATCTCTCTTGAGGTTGTCTTTCTTACTTTTTTATTTATTTATAGGGGAGGGGGGGGGGGGGTAGACGATCGAAACTACTTGAAATTAGATTCTCTTTTAGATTTATCCTAAGAACGATCTCTATTATTTTTATTCATTGTCATGTTTTTCTTGCAGATACTATGATTTAGATACTTATCATCGCCATAAGATGATAAAGGCGCTGAAAAAAGGTTCTGAAGTAGTCACACAGATAGAGCGTACCGTATTTGATGATGAGGAACAACGCCGGTATGTATGAAATCCTTCAATGACAGTTTCTATGGAGTAATATGTGTCTTTTATCATTATTTTTTTTTGGAATTGTTGATTTTGCTTGTATGTCTGGCATTGGATTTGGATGGAGGATTTCCTTCTTTTTCCCCTCTCTTTCTGTAAAGATCTAAACAAATGGGCCACATGCTAATAATTACTTCAGGGTATTCATGATGAGATCATTCCCCTTTAGATGATGAACTGGTTTATTTTAGATTACATACTTGTGACTTGCCTTGAACTGGTAAAGCCATAGAGTAGAGGGTAACTTTGTGGATGTTCGGTGGCATTGTTACGTAATATGTTCCGAATGGTTTGATTGTATGCTTCCTTACTGCATCTTTCTAAATTTTATTCTTTTTATTTTGCAAGTACGCTTTTAGTCATTATTCCACAGTCGATACAAACCAGTTCCTCAAAAAATCCGATTCGTGCTGATTCTTTCCCCAACTAACGAAGCGATCCTGGTGGAATTGCCACATATGAAATTGAGCGCAATTTTGCAAAGAAATACCCCACTTGTTTTTGTTTCTGAGAAGAGACGAGGAACATGCTCAATATCATTTGATTGAATGGTTGCCTCAGCTCCTTGTTGTTGAAGAAACCCTCCACTTCAATTGGTCTTTTTTCACGAAAAGCAGACATCAAATTATTTCGTGGATTGGATTTCACTTGACTGTCTACGGCTCCATTGCGTGTGCTCGGGGTAGAAGTTTTGTATAAATGTATCGCCGTGTTATTAAGTATTTTGATTTAAGTCCTTTTCTCTATAAGAGGTGGAATAGAATAACCCGGTTGAAGCGTAATGATCATACGTCTGTAATGCATTCTATCTCCCATAAGAGGTCCCATTCTTCTACCCTTTCCCAGGACCGGGAGTCGTTAACTATTCATAGCTATTAGTAGCATATTATGTTTACGATCTCTGACCATCTGAACTAGTGGGATTAGTCCAGCTGTTCCAGCAGATTTATATTGAGCTTAGTTTAGATTTCCATAGATGTACAGTTTGACCTGGAAATAATTTTTGTTCTTTTTGTAGGATACACTGCCGTGGTCTTTCAAGAATTATTTGGAACTTAATTTATTTTCTTGTATTTTTTGTGCAGGCAAGAATTACTGAGGGAGCGTGAGAAACAGAAGGAAGCACAGATTGAGGCTTTGAAAATTTCAATGCAGAGTGGGATGGTAAACTCCATTATTATTATCTTTATATTTTCAAACATGTTAGTGTAGTTTGTGATATGTGAAGCTTATAATAATTTTGATATATTTTTTGAGATCTTTCGCTGGGTTCAATAGAGTGTATGTGCCAACTATGGGGTCAAACAAATCCCGGTGGATTGGTCATTTAGGAGTTTGAGCTAATGTTGTAGAAATTAGTTCAGGGGTTCAAGCAAGTATTACCCTACACGCATGCGCACATAAATGCGTACTTGAGAGAGAGAGAGAAGGGGGGGGGGGGATGGAGGGAGATTAAATTGGTTAATCTCATGAGCACCTAAAGTCAAAGGGAACAATACACGATGTTTTATTGTATTTCTCTCTAGTCGAGGCCGTGCAAATTCATCTTCCAAGTGATAATTTTTCTTAATGTTGTTTCATATTCAGGCTCAAGCAATGAAGGAGCAGGCCCAGTTGCGTGAAGAAATGAATTATCAGTTCAGGCTTGGTAATATTGAGGTAATGGAGCACTTTACTGAAACATGTACCTTTCTCTCTCTTGTTCTTTCAACTAATCTCTCTCTCTCTCTCTCTCTCTTTCTCTCTCTGTTCTCTCTCTCTTGTCTCTCTCTCTCTCTTCTCTCTTCTTATAGGCTGCTCAAGCAATTCAAAGAAGATTGGATCCTGATGCTGCAATGTGATTAGTTTTGCCCCACACTCTGGAAAGGGTATGACGAATTTTCATCACCTCGCTCTCGCTCTCGCTCTCATGTATATACCTTGACGAATCTCCGAGTCATGTTTTGCTATTTTCTTAAATAATAGGTTATTATCAAGTGTTGTCTGCTAAAGCTTTTATTGTCTGACGGTATTATCATTACATTTTGCATGTTGCTTGGTTTTTATCCTCTTCCTGTCCTTTTTTTCTCAGCTTGAAATTACCTAACTATAGAAATGCATAACCTGTCAAAGAAACGGTCATGAATACTAGGAGATGAAATCTTCAAAAGCTTCTCCAATTGATTCTTTAGGCCTTGAGCCATGTATTCAATAAAGGATAAGTCCTAGGTGGTTAGGTCACTTGTTAAAAAAGGAAATATCTGAGAAAGATACGAAACTGAGACTTGGTGCTATTTGCTGCATGTTACCTTTGTTGGTTGTCAGCAGTGTTTAAAAAGTCGACTGGCTAGCTTGGGACTTACCCAGTGTTCGCCAAATCGAACCGGAATGGTTATCTAGAAATGGGGCCGAGAGCGGTTAGAACCAGAACCGGACTAACTGGGCAACCAGACTAATTGGTCTGGTAGATTTTTTTTTTAATGGGTCAAAAACCCCCAAAAAAATAAAAATAAAAATAAAAATAAAAATAAAAAATAGAAAATTTAGATTAAGTGTATACTAACTTATTATCTGCATTTATCTTACCCAAAAGAAAATTGAAACAACTTTTTATACAAACTAATATATGAATACTATGGAGATATGCAAGACAATTTGACATTAATGCAATTGATGGAGTTACAAAGGCTAAATAACCATGGCTAGTAATAATGAAAGTGGCGAGGGGGGTCAGGTTACTGTTGTGTCTCGCTATCAAGGTTTATTGGGCCAAAAATTTGAGTAAGGCCGAGTGGACTTTGTAGTGCCGTAGTTGTGCCCCATCGCCAGTCAGGAACAGAGCATTTTGATAATACCAAGTGGAAAATGACTTCAATCACAGGGAGATTCTAATGAAATTTCATTATAAGGGACTGAGAACTTCAACAAATTGTTGTGCTTTAGGTTATTCTTTGAGATATTTTTGTTATGTAATATCTTCTTCCAAGAATTTAACATATTCATCCCAAACCTTACATGAAAAACTTTCTAGTTTCTTTTGTAATAAAATTGCTCACATTAGGAATGAAAGTTTAAGCACTTTTTTGCAAACAACAAAAGTAGCGTGATGCTATTAAATCAAGTAAAAACGCCACCTAATTAAGACATGAAACATAAAGGACCTCTTCCATATAGTTAGATGAAGCATAATTCATGCAATACTTTTTCGATGAAGTTAAATAAGGCATACTTCACAAAAAGTACATCTCATGATATGCAACAAAACGAAAAATCAATGCGCAACACACTGATATGAGAATTACATAAGGTTTAAAGTTGTATAGAGATTAAATAGCATATATGATGGCATGCAAACAATTGAGCAACATTGTCATGCACTTTTTTTTTTTTGTTTAAAAAAACGTATAACATTAAAAATAGAAGAATCGATTTTTTTTTGTCATATTCATCAAAAAATATATTTTTATAAAAAAAATGTAATTTTATCAAGAAACATAATGTTATTAAACAAAGTAGAGAAACACTTACCATATTTATCATAAAACATAATTTTATTAAGCGAAATAATTTTTTTTAGAAAAATTGATTTCTCAAAAACCCTTAAAATCGAGCCCCAAATGTTTGTTTTTGCTGTCAAATCCGTTCTTTTATTGAATGCAATCAATAATTTCAGTCAAATATTGTCTGAAAAATCCTAAAAAAGGCTGAAAAATTAGGAAACAAATTAAAAAAAATCGAGTTGGAGCTTATCTTGTTTTCTTCCAACTCAAATGAATCCCTAATCTCAAAATCTCTAGATTTAGATGAAATCAAGAGTTTAATCGTCTGGATATCTCTGTGATCAACAAAAGCCCCCCATTTTGATAAAAAACAAACAAAAACTAGGCCAAAATCTTTATATTGGTGAATTTTTCATTAAACTTTGAAGAACACCGAAATGACAGCCAAGAAATTTCAATTTTGAGCCCGAAATCTTAGGATTTCGATGAAATCAGGAGTGTAGTAGTCTAACTATCTCTTTCATCTACCAAAGCCCCCCCCCCCCATTTTGATCGACAAAAAATCAACAACAAATCCAAGATCTGTATATTGGCAGATTTTCATCAAACTAATGAAGAACAAATAAATAACGCCCAAGACAACTTGAAATTCGGTGGTTTTTTATCCCAAATCAACTATTTTATAGAGTAACATAATTAATTTAGTTCAATAATTCTCTATAAAAGCTTGAAAAGGCTGATAAAGTCCACAAAATCAAATCGAATCTTGAACAAAATGAAAACTCGTGGGTTCTATAAAAAGTAATGGGCTTTGTTTCAAATAACAGAAAGATGTTATATAACACTGTTATAGCGCCCGCTATAACTTTAAAAATGGTTGCTTCTAAAACCGGTTCGGTTATGCCAAAAACTAGCCGGTTTGCAACAAAATCGAGTGGTTTGAGTATATACCGGCCGGTTTTGGTCCGGAATTTTTTATGGTAGTTATATATACACACTCGAACTCTGAAACCAGTCCTAACCGGACTCGGAACCCTAGCGGTTCCGAGCTAACTGGCCGGTTTTGCGAACAGTGGACCTAGAGTTCGGAGTGGTGATTTTAGGCCACAAAAACCTAGAATCGCCCTATTCTTTTGGTTTTTCAATGGAAAAAAGATAGAGCAAATTACGTTTAGACACTTTTTTGGAGGGGGAGGGGAGGGGAGGGGAGAGGGGGGGGGGGTGTGCTTTCCTTCCCCCCCTCTAAAGTTGCCCTCCTGTCCAACAATTCAAATGCCGGACAGAGGGTGGGCTAATTTTAAACATAAAAGAGTTGTCCAGCATTTCAAATACCGGATTGGGGGATGACTAATTTTAGTTGTTTGCTGTCTGGTGTTTGAAAAAACGGACAACTCTATAAAAAAAAAATGAAGAAAATGGAGCATTGGTTGCCTCCTCTCTCTCTCTCTACCAATTCCTGGGATTAGAAAACAAATGAAGAAGGAGAGGGGGGCAGGGTGTACATGTCGTCGAGTAGCGGAATGGGAATTGAGTTTGGAGGGCAAGGCGGCGTTGGAGGCTTTGGAGTGGGCATGGAGATGAGATTGGCGCTGTGAGATGTCAGAAGGGGGGAGGCCCAGCCTCAACTGCTCAATCAGTTGCTCAATCGACTTGCTCAAAACATGCGTCCTCTCATCCACTTCACTTACATAACGTTGTTGCATCAGTTGCTCAATCGACTTGCTCAAAACATGCGTCCTCTCATCCACTTCACTTACATAACACTGTTGTTGGCATTACAAAGAAGAAGAAAGAGATTACCCAATATTTCTCCTTGAGTAGAGGGAGAGAGAAAACCAAGGCACCTTTTTTTCTTTTTTTTCCCATGGAGATGTTCGGTATTTCGAACACTGGACAACAAAGAACTAAAATTAACCCTCCCCCCTGTCTGGTATTTGGAGTGCTGGACAACTCTTTAGCTTTTTAATATTAGCCTTGCCCTTGGTCGGTATTTGATTTGCCGGACAGGAGGGCAACTTAGGAAAAAAAAATTGCCGTGCTGGGAGAGGAGGGGATGGTGCGCTTGTAATTTCAAGCCAATGGCTGTCTATTTGGAAATCCCCCCCCCCCCCTCCATTCTCCTCTCCGACTTAGGACTCGTCAGAGTCGGACCTAGGGGGGAATCAGATCTTCGGGTGCCCGACTTGGCATCTGATTCGTGTATTTGAAATGCTGGTCGCAAATGCTTATTGAGATCTAGAACTTCAAAGCAATCTTTTGTTTAGCATCTCAATATTTTTCTCCTTAGCTTGTGTTTCTGCAATATTCAAGGGTAACAATTGGTGCGGAAATGCAATGAAATGGTTATGACCAATTGCAAAAGTAGTTAGGAAAAATCAATATTAATTTTAAAAAGTTAGCTTTACTTATTTGGGAAAAGTTTGTAGAGCCGAGGTTCTAAACGATCAAATTAGAGCCCAGCTCACAAATTTCACTAGAAGAGGTTGTTTTGATACCGAAATATCTTCAAATTGATCATCTCGACATCAAGATGCATGGGCATGAGAAAAAAATTGATTTCAAGTTTTAAAAATAGTACATCTTGTAACACATTTTTAGACCGTCAACTTTCAAGTTTTCATAGATCGGCTCGATCTACACTTTTCGAAAATTTAAATTTTATAATTATAGTTTATAATATATTTTAAGGCTATCACAAAGACTTTTAGTATTAAAATCAATTTTCTCGACACTATTTGGAGGTGGGCTCTAATTTGATTGTTTAGAGCCTCAGCTGTATACAAACCGCACCTTTCTTATTTTGATGGTTTGTAATTTTCTTTTTTTAATTCTAGATGAAATTTTTTGGAATCTCTCTAAAATTTACTCAACTGCAAAATTCTTGAAAACAAGAAATATCATTGCGCTACAAGATAGTAGTTCAAATAAACGAATTCGGAGACTTGATGTCGAGGAGGTTAAAAGTTCTCTTTGCTCTGTCTCCTTCAATCTTAAATTAGATGACAAATAAACTGCACTATTTTTTTTTTTAAATTTATTTTTTAATCTCTGTTGCCTTAGAGATAGTTCAGAGCAATTTATTTTTGTAGATATATTTTTTTATATTCATTAATTCAAGTAGCCGACCCCAATTAGTTGGGAAAAGGCTTTGACGATGATGATGATTATTTTTCAGGTTTCCCTAAATACTGGTCTTATATCTTGTTCTTTTGAAGTATGGGGATAACAATCTTTCTGTTCGGTGCTCTAGGCTGATGGTTTATGAATTGTCTTGTGTATTATGGGATTGCTTTCATGTGTTGCTCTTTGAAACCAATGACTGATTCCCGATGGTTAGTCTTCTAAATTCTAGGTGCATGTTAAGGATGCTCAAACTTGAACTATATACCCAAATTCTACTTCTTGTGCTACACAAGGCAGTGATATCAATGT